TACCATTTATCTCTTGATGGATGTCTAGGCTGACTATTCTTTTTTTTTTTTTTTTTTAATTTTAAGTTTATTTACTTCACATCCCAAAGGTACCCTTCCCTCTTCCCCTGCCAGCCCTCCCTCCCCCTCCTTCCCTCTTCCCCTCTCCCTTTGCGCCTAGAAAAGGTGAGCCTCCTCTCCAGCACATCAGGACTGGGAGCTCCACCCAGCAGTGAATTGAGACAGATGCTGGGACTTGCAGCCAAGCACAGGGTGGAAGCTCTGGGGGGTCTTGTAGAAGTGTTAGGGGAAAGATGGGAGGACAGGAACCCCACAAGAATACCAACAGACACAACTAACCCAGACCCACGGGGGCTTACAGAGACTGAGACATCAGCTAAGAAACATGCATGGTCTGGACCTAGGCCCCCTGTGCATGTGTGTCCGATGGGCGGCTTGGTCTGCATGTGGATCACCTGGTGAGCGGAGGCCTGTGTGGGCTTGCTAACATGGACTCCATTGCCTGCTTTAGATCACTTCCCCTGGCGGAGCTGCCTTGCCTGGCCTCAGCGGATAAGGATATGCTCAGTCCTTATCTGACTATTCTTTTTAATGTGTGTTCTTGGTGCTGTAACACATGGATTTATTTCTGGGCTCTGTTGTGTCCATTGGTTGATGTGTCTATTTTGACTTCTGTAGCTTCATAGTACATCCTGGAGTCAGGTATTGTAACCCCTCTAGCTCTGTCCTTTTCTCCAGGGCCACCCTGCTCAGGTTCCACTGTGGCTCATCCACATTTCAGGAGCACTTTTTATGTGTCTGTGCAGAATGTCTCTGATGTCCTGATAGGCCTGGATGGATTTTTCTTAGCATCAATTGCCAATACTAACTGGCTTTCTTGCTAGGAAATACATGTGTTGTGTATGTTTTCTTTGTGTGTGGATTGCCTTTTTTCTTTTTATATTTATTTATGTGTGGGGTGCATAGTCCATGGCATGTGTATGGAGGTCCTTTAAAACATTCGGTGTATGGAGGGGGAGGACAGGGTTTGAAGAGGGGGTGAACTGAATGGTGAGATCTTGAGGGCAGCATTACCTCTTTATTGTGCTAGTGTCACAAAAACCCCACATTGCCGAGACTTATAAAAAATGAAAGATTTCTTCTCTCTTGGCCTGGCACTGCTCTTGCTCACAAAGTCTCATGGCTTGGGCTTCTTGTAGTTCACCCCCTGCTAACCCATTGTCACGACTTATGTGTTCTCCCTCAGCTGCAGCAGAGGGGGATGAGACTAAGCAGACGATGAGCAGCAGATCACTGCAGGCTGGCAATTGAAGAAAATTTCCAGAGGCTGCCGTGACTGACGTGTCCACCATAATTGATTAGCACAGAGGCATATGACCACAGCAGGGAAAGGATTTAAAACACGAGTTGTGGAGAACAAACAGTTGTTCACTGTTTATTGGAAAATCAAATTGTTTGTTTAAATAGTTGTGGTTTCTTCTAGAAGTTCCCGTAACCTAGTTACTTGTAACTTTTCTCTCTCTGAGTCTGCCTTTGTTTCCTGCAACAGTAAAGTCATGCTAACAGAGAGTGGAAACGTCATGCTTATGTGCACCGTCAATGGGGCGAGTTTGGGCTTGAGAGTGTCTACCCTTGGGGGCCAGCGTGAGACATGGCATGTACTGACAGCCACAGTCTATGGATTGTGAATGCAGTGGCCCTCCACTAGGCAGTATCTCCAGCCCAGCTGGACATGTGTGCATGTCCAGGGAGCTGTGTGCATCTCAGCAAACACTTCACGAGACAGTTCTAAAACCACCGAGCTGCATGTCAGGGTTGATGAGTTGACTGCCAAGCACTTTAGCCGGGACCCACAGGAGCCGTGGAGGTCAGTTCAGCTAAACTCCTATGTCTGATCCCATGTGTCTGTCCCTGTGGTTGAATCAAGGATGAAGAGCAGGGGATCTCTCGTCTAGGTAGATAGTGTGATGATGAGAGAAGGTTCCGGAGTCTGAGCAGTTGAGTGAGCTGTGCTGGCTATACCTTCCCAATGCCATTGCCCTCTTAAGGGACTTATTTTAGGCATCTTGGCAGGCCCAGTAGCAACCCTCTGGAGCACTGAGCCACTGGCACATTGCTTCCTAAGAGATGAGCAGCACAGGCAGGTCCTCTGAGGGTACATCACTTCCACACTGAGTCCTCATTGGGGTGGATTTGGGATTTTGTTCTGCCCCTCCCACCAGCTTCTCTTTGTCTCTGAGCATTTGAAGACTAGCTGAAGAAGTACTAATGCTGTCTGCCCCACCCCTCTGCCCATTTCACTATGCAAAAGTAGAAGGATTGGCTTTCCTTGGGCCTCTCATTTCTATCAAAACCCTCTTCAGAGGCTCTGCATGGTAAATGGGCTCCAGCATGCAGTGGGAAGGGAAAGGCTGCAGCAATGTTTAGAATGGGGTGCAATGCGTGTCTCCAAAGTTAAGTATATGAGGAGGAAAGGAGGCATAGGTAGATGTGGGGTCCTTGTAGAGGGGTGCAGGCATGTAAAACACAGGAGGTGCCCTCCCTCATCTTCACTGATGGTGCCTTTCTCTCTGCCCAGCAGAGAAAGGGACATTCCAGGCAGTTTGCAGGATGGGCATTTTGGGTGTCGGTGGGGAAGTGGGAGTGGAGTGTGAGGCCGAGGAAGCTGCTCTGTCTTCCCTGACTATCCACAGGACACAGGCTGCACTACCTTTGTATGAAAATTTTCCTCAGTAAATTAATCTTAGCTTACTAGGAGTTTTTACTTTACTATGAAGCTCTAGTTGGCCTGGACTCTGTCTGGTAAAGGTGTGTGCCTGGCTGAACTTTAAATTCTGTAATTATACTTAACTTTTTCTTATTAGTTTAAAGTTTTTCCCTTTACAACTTTTAATAAAGATTTATTTGTATGATGTATGTGTGTATCTGTGTGTACCACGCACATACAGGAGCCCTTAAGGGTCACATGAGAGTGTTGATCTCCTGGAAGGGGAGTTACGGTGCTAATGAGCTGCCCTGTGGGTGCTGGGATCTGAACCCTAGCCCTCTGCAAAGTAGCAAGTGCTCTTCAATAAACCGGCTCTCTGGCCCGTTAAACTTGTTGTTGCTGTTGCACTGTAGCCAGTGTCAGCAGAGTCGCTCCTCCACCCCTTCACCTTGTCCCATTTGATGGTCTTGATGGGTGGGCAGTGACAGGCTGTCCTCTCCCGGTAGTCTTTTCTCCCAGGGACCTGGGAGGCTGTTTTCCAGTTAGCTCCTTCCTTCCTTCCTTCCTTCCCTCCTTCCTTCCTTCCCTCATTCCTTCCTTCCTCCCTCCCTCCCTCCTTCCTTCCTTCCTTCCTTCCCTTCCTTCCTTCCTTCCTTCCTTCCTTCCTTCCTTCCTTCCTTCCTTCCTTCCTTC